ATGGTGCCACTGCACTCCAGCCTGGGCAACAGAGTAAATTCTTGTCTTAAAAAAAAAAAAAGTTATTCTTGGTGTGTCTTTGATGGTGTCTCTGGATAAGATTAACATTCAGATGGGTGAACTGAGTAAAGCAGTTTGCCTTCTCTAATGTGCATGGGCCTCGTCCAATCAATTGAAGATGTGAACAGAACAAAAAGGCTGACCAGGAGGAATTTCTCTGCCTCATTTCCTGAACTGAAACGTTGGTCTTTTCCTGCCTTTGGACATGAATTCAAATCACCTTTTCTTGTGTTTCTAGCCAGCAGCCTTTTGGCCTGGAATTTACAACATTAACTCTCCTGCTCTCCTGATTCTCAGACCTTCAGTTTTGAATAGGAACTATACCATAGGCTCTCCTGGAAATCAAGTTTGCCTACTGCAGATGTTGACAAATCTCAGCCTTCATAATTACATGAGCCAATTACTTATAATAAATCTTTATCACTATGGCTCAACTTACAATTTTTCAACATTATGGTGGTACAAAAGTGATATGCATCCAGTAGAAACTGTACTTTGAGTACTCATACAACTGTTTTTCTCTTTCTGTACAGTATTCAATAAATTACACAAGATATTCAATATTTTATTATAAAATAGACTTTGTATTGAATGATTTTGCCCAGGTGTAGGCTAATGTAGGGGTTCTGAGTGTGTTTAAGGCAAATTAGGTTAAGCTGTGATGTTCAGTAGGTTAGGTGTATTAAGTGCATTTTTGACTTATGATATTTTCAACTTAGGATAGGTTTATTGGAATGTAACTCCATAATAAGGACCCTCTGTGTGTGTGTGTGTGTGTGTGTACATATGTGTGTTTGTGTGTATGTGTATACATATACAGGCATATTACTGTACTTTGCTTTATTGCACTTCACAGATATTTCATGTTCTTTTACAAACAGAAGTTTTGTGGCAACCTTGCATCAAGTATGTCTATTAGCACCATTTTTCCAATAGCATGTGTTCACTTTGTGTCTCTGTCATATTTTGGTAATACTCACAATATTTCAAACTTTTTCATTATTATTGTAATAGCTGTTGTGGTGATCTTTGAACAGTGGTCCTTGATGTTACTGTTGTAATTGTTTTGGGGCAGGCACTACAAACTACACCCATCTAAGATGACTAACTTAATTGATACATGTATGTGCTCTGACTGCTTCACTGACTGGCTGTTTCTTGGTCTCTCTCCCTGTCCTCAGGCCTCCCTATTCCCTGAGACACAACAATATTGCAATTAGGCTATTATATTAACCCTACAATGGCTTTGAATGTTCAGGTGAAAAGACGAGTCCCATGTCTATCACTTTAAATCGAAAGCTAGCAATGATTACACTGAGTGAGCAAGGCATGTCAAAAGTCGAGACAGGCCTCTGGCACCAAACAGCCAGGTTGTGAACACAAAGTAAATGTTTTTCAAGGAGATTAAAAGTTATCCTCTAGTGAACACATGAATGAAAAGAATGCAAAACAGCCTTATTGCTGATAAGGAGAAAGTTTTAGTGACCTGGATAGAAGATCAAATCAGCCACAACATTCCCTTAAGCCAAAGCCTAATCCAGAGCAAGGCTCTAACTCTATTCAATTCTATGAAGGCTAAGAAACATGAGGAAGCAGCAGAAGAAAAGTGTAGCCAGAAGAAAAGTTGGGGCTAGCAAAGGTTGGTTCTTGAGGTTTAAGGAAAGAACCCATCTCCACAACATGAAAGTGCAAGGTGAAGTAGCATGTGCTCATGTAGACGCTACAGCAAATTATCCAGAGACATAGGTAAAATAATTGATGAGGGTTGCTATACTAAACAAAGTATTTTCAATGTAGAGAAAACAGTTTTATAGTGGAAGAAGATGCCATGTAGAACTTTCATAGCTAGAAAGTAGAAAACAATGCCTGGCTTCAAGGCTTCAAGGACAGACTGACTCTTTTTTTAGGGGCTAATAAAGCTGGTGACTTAAAATTGAAGCCAATGTTCTGAATATCCTAGGGCCCTTAAAAATTATGCTAAATATACTCTGCTTGCATTCTAGAAATAAAACAACAAGCCTAAATGACAGCACCCCTGTTTATAGCATGGTTTACTGAATACTTTAAGCCCACTATTGAGGCCTACTGCTCAGTGATTCCTCTGGTGGACCCAGGCAAAGTAAATGGAAAAATCTTCTAGAAAGAATTCATCATTTTACATGTCTTTGTGAACATTGTGATTCAGAGGAAGAGGTCAAAATATCAACATTAAAAAGAATTTGGAAGAAGTTGATTCCAATCCTCATGGATGACTCTGAGGGGTTCAAGATCTCAGTGGAAGAATAACTGCAGATGTGATGGAAACAGCAAGAGATCTAGAATTAAAGTGGAGCCTGAAGATGTGATGGAATTGCTGCAATCTCATGATCAAACTTGAACAGATAAGGAGTTTTTTCTTCTGGATGAGTAAAGAAAGTGGTTGCTTGAGATGGAATCTACTTCTGGTGAATATGCAGTGAACATCATTCAAATGACAACAAAAGGTTTAGAATATTACATAAACTTGATAAAGCAGTGGCAGGGTTTGAGAAGATTGACTTTAATTTTGAAATAACTTCAACTCTGGGTAAAATGCTATCAAATAGTATCACATGCTTACGGAAAAATCTTTTGTGAAAGGAAGAGTCAATGGATGCAGCAAACTTCATCGTTGTCTTATCTTAAGAAATTATTAGAACTATGCCAACTTTCAGCAACCACCACCCTGATCTGTTAGCCATCAACGGCATCAAGGCCCTCCACCAACAAAAAGATAATGATTCACTGAAGGCTCAGATGATTGTTAGCAGTTTTTAGCAATAAAGTATTTTAAAATTAAGGTAAGTACACTATTTTTATAGACATAATGCTATTGCATATTTAATAGACTATAGTAGTATAAACGTAACTTTTATACGCAGTGGGAAACCATAAAATTCATGTGACTTGCTTAATATGGTATTTGCTTTATTGCAGTGGTCTACAACTGAACCTGTAACATCTCTGCAATGTCTCTGTGTGTGTGTGTGTATATATAAATATATATACATATATACATACATATATACGAGTGTATGTGCGTATGTATACATACATATATACACACACATATACATGTATATATACACATATATATATGAGTAGTTCTGTTTTGTTGGAGAACTCTAAGGTAGAAGGTTGAAAAAAAGGATAGACCTTCTTTGAATTAAAAGGGACTTAACACTTTGGAGAAATTACCATTAAAACCAGGAGGAGAACCTCACCAGAACAACAGAAGTGGAAAAGATGGAAAATATCAAGTGTTGGTGAGGATATGGATTAAGTGAAACTCTCACACACTGCTGGTGGGAATATAGATTGAAAAAAAAGACGCTGTAAAAACTGCTTGGTGGTATCTACGGAGCCACATACGGACATTCCCTATGACTCAGGAATGCTATTTTTTGGTATACGCCCAAGAGAGATGAAAATATATGTCCATCTATTTGATACAAACAAAAATGTTCATATGATCATTACTCATGATAAGTCAAAAACTGGAAAATACCCAAGTTTTTATAACAGGTAACTATATTATGAAATATCCAAACAATATAATACTTTACAGCAACGAGAATGAATAATCTACAACTACAAACAGCAATATACGTTAATCTCACACACATTATGTTGACTGAAGGGAGCCAGATACAAGAGAGTGCATGCTGTATGATTCCAGTAATATTTCTTCTAACCTCCTGATAAAGTTTGAGGAAGGAGAATATCAACAACCCGTTTCTTTTTCTTTTAAGTTACTTAGTGTCCTCTTATGTTATGTAGCGTAACCTCAGAGAAGCAAAGCAAGTTTCTTCTAAGCCCTTTAGAAGTGAACAACTGCATATAAGATCAAAGGCTAATACTATGTCTGGTGGACAGACCACTGTGTGTGAGTGATTCAGACGAGAATCATACATGGATGCTCTCAGTCTGCACAAAATCCCACAGTGGTCAATGAGTCACCATGGTAACCATGCTGGCCAAGGAAAGGTGGAAAAAAAGCAAAGGATAATCACTCTGATTTGGTTCATAAAATGTGCAAAGAATTGAAAGAGACTGACATGAACACATTAACACTCCTTAAGTGTTCCTAACAATAGATACTCATCACAACTTCAGTGATATAAACATATACATATGTGCATGTACATACACTGATGTATCCACATGCTCTCTCCCTCGCTCTCACCACCAAAGAACTCATGATTCATCACGTGAGGAAGAAAAACACAATTCAACTGATTCAATTCTAACCACAAATATAAAATTGGAAGTACTATAACTATTCTTTTATAGATTGATCTTTCTAGAGTTAACCTGTAGATTGTCTCTAGGCCTTTTCTTCCTTTCTTGAGTTGGATGACTCAGTTTTGTTATGATGGCTGTTCTCCCCAAAATGATCTATGCTTTCAATGGAATCCCAGTCAAAATACTAGCATAAATTTTTTTCTAGAAATTAACAAGCTGATATTAAAATTCATGTGGAATTCCCTCAATTTTTGTTTTTCTGATTTAAAGTCTTTAAAAAAATGTAAAATGAGGCTAAAGCTGATAGACTGCAAGGAGAAATATTAATACATGAATCAAACTGCTAGGAACACCTTCTAACCAACTGCATAGTTCAACCCCCAACTGGGAGATACATGGGAATGACTTATACAGTCAGAAAAAAATTTGTATTTATTACAAGTGCATATTAAGATCAAGTTCTTTCTTCAGTGTGGGTAATTCATTGCTTTCAAAGCAGGCATCACTTAGATGGGTGTCAAGGGCTACTTCAAAGCATGCAGCTGCTGATGAAAGGAAATTCCCCCTGCTGTCTTCCCCAGTGATGAGATGAAAGTAGCTTCTTTACTTTTAGGCTATTTTGTGAACCTCACAGGAGCTATTCCACCACATGCTTTTGTTCAGATCTATGAACTCACCATAAGCAGGTGTCATGTCCTACCAGGGATGTAAGTGCTGGTGGTCTCCTAGGATTGTTGCCCTTTAAGTCAGGCGTAGAAGCTTTGGCAGCCATCATGACCCAAATCCTCAGAATCTGCCTCTTTCAGACACCTGATAGGAGCTCAGACATCCACATGAAGAGCTGCACAAGGAGAGAAAGAACCCAGCAATCACTGTGCTTTCTTAGAGTAATTATGTGCCTGGCACCATGATAGGCACTGGGTTAGTGAACAATGACACTGATACAATTGGGCAGTGATCATAACAATTAGAAGGGTCATCAGTGGGTTTCTCACTAGGACCTTTTTCTTCTCCTTTCTTCATCTATCTTCTAACAACAAAATTGAAAAAGAATGAGAAGTGACCTCAACTCACACAGGCATTCCTGATTCTGCAATAACCACAGGGCTATGGGCTTGCATTTGTGTTATTACAATCCTGGTTGCAGCAATCCTGTATGTGAGCCTTTTTTTTTTTTTTTTTTTTTTTTTTTTTTGAGACAGAGTCTTGCTTTGTTGCCCAGGTTGGAGGGCAGTGGCGCGACCTCAGCTCACTACAAGCTCCGCCTCCTGGATTCACACCATTCTCCTGCCTCAGCCTCCCGAGTAGCTGGGACTACAGGCACCCGCCACCACACCTGGCTAATTTTTTTGTATTTTTAGTAGAGACGGAGTTTCACTGTGTTAGCCAGGATGGTCTCGATCTCCTGACCTTGTGATCCTCCCGCCTCGGCCTCCCAAAGTGCTGGGATTACAGGCGTGAGCCACCGCGCCCGGCCGTATGTGAGCATTCTTATCCCCATTTTACAGAGGAGGAAGCTGAGGTCAAAGAGAGTCATTATCAGTCTCATCCTCCCACATCTGGCCTTTATGTGGAAAGTAGCTACAGGACACCCTGGAGCAATACGCAACACTCACTGGGGTGAGAAAGAGCCCCATATCTCTCTCATTCATCCCAGGGCAGTTCAGCCCCCACCATGGGGCACCCACACCCTCAGCTGAGTCCCAGACACCTGAAGGTAGGACCTTGCTTTCATAGCCATATTCTTCTAGGTCTTCTGCTCTATTAAAAGATGCAGAAGCCCCATAATAACTTCAGGTTTCCATGGCAACTGTGATGCATTGACTTGTCCTCTATATCTCACAAGCCTTTGCATAGTTCCTTTGCCTATAGCTGAAAGCAAAATACCTTCACACTTTAGACCACCACTTGCAAAAGCATACTCACTAGAGGAACTAGGCTGGGACCCAGGCAATTGGGGGAACTCTGCCCAGTTTGGTAGAAGAAAGCAGGTCCCTGTGGTCAAAAATTTTATTTGTTTAAAAGTGACAGTAGAGGAGTATCACCAGTATCCAGAGACCCAGGAGGTACCCCAGGGCTCTTGGTGATGAACTAGCCCTCTGAGAGTGAACTTGCAAAACTCACACATCATGCTAAGTGGTTAGTCATCTGTGGCGGAAAACTAGAGACTATCTATAATCATATTTATGATTAAAATGATCTAAATGATCTAAAATACCATAAAATGTCATTTAAGGAATCTCACATTTATTTCATGGAAGCAGGCCTATAATAATATAATCATTTAGTAGGCAGACATCTAGTCAATTCAATAATACATTGGGTTACCCTGGAAAATTTTTATCTTACATTTTTGATACTTTTTCCATGTGAAGAGACATCCATGAAAAACAAACAAACAAACAAAGATGTAGCCTCTCTATACACTCCCTCACTCCTTCTCTATCACAGGAATGACTTAACTGATTGGTAAATCTGAAAGGAGAAATGGGTTGTTCAACCCAGGTCCTCTCCCTTCAAAATTCTAAATAGTAAGCTGCCCTTCTGGGCAATCATTCTGCTCTGTCCTCAGTGATGGGTCTTACAACAGGCCTACAGCTTTACTCCCCTTTCTGTGCCTCACTGGCTCCTCAACTCTTTCTACGGTCTTGCTTTACAATGCTTTCGTGTTTAAGAAGCCCCCAAAATACCTTTCTGCTCTTTGTCTGAACTCTAAACCAACTAAAAAAAAAATCACAAAAAACTAATAAGCATAATACATTGACCTTATTCCTCATAAAAGTGATATTGGACAATATGACTTAGATTTACTGTCACATGGGCTTTCTATGAATGAACCCCAGAACTGGACAGATTAGTCCATCCAGCAGTGCTGCACTGGGACAGTCACAAAGGTCAAGGAGTGCAATGAACAGTTAACCACGTGCTGTCTCCTGAGGAGCCCTGACTATGTGTACCCAAGGAAAGTAATCTCCTTGCCAAGGGCTATCCCTGTAGCAGGAGAAAGTATCTCAGGACACCTTCTTTGAAAAACAGTTCACAAGTGGTAGATATCCCTTGTCTCAATAGCATATTCATCAAGCAACCTGCTGAAGATATGATTTTCCATATGGCTTGGGAGTAGCATGTAGTAACAGCCTCTGAATTCCTTAAAATGAGTAATTGCAGTGGAAGCTCCTTTTATGGAGGGAGATTTGAATTAGGTTCTAAATTCCAAGAGCGGGTTGAAAATCATATATTGTGAAATTTTCCCTTGAAAAATCACTTCAAGAAGGAATTGAGGAAATGTTCATAATTCAATACCCACACATAAACTCATATGCAGATTATGGCAAAATTTATAACAAAGTCCTACCAAGGCTTTAAGGCTAACAGAATCTCTACAAATTCCAGTATAATAGATTAGAGAAAAAGAGGGAAAGTTCACCAAATCCACATGTTTTGGATATTCATTTCTACTTAACAAAACGTCCCAAACAATAGCCATTTATTATCTCTCAGGATTTTGTGTGTTCACTAGGCTCCGCTGGATGATTTCTGCTCAATGTGGTATCTATCACCAGGGACTGCAATCATCTGAATACAGACAAATGCATCCTGGGACTTCCAAAAAAGCTCACTGACATGGATGACTGATGCTGGCATCTGCTGGCAGCTCAGCGGAGGCTACTGTGTAGAGCACCTTGGTTTAATACAGAGTCTTCCGTGGGAAGCATAGAAAGATAAAACACAGTACATCTAGGTAAATCTGAATGTTTTAGTGTATATAATTTTGTTTATCTGAAGTTCAAATTCAACTAGTCATACTGTTTTGTTTTGTTTTGTTTTGTTTTAAATCTGGAAAGTCTAAGGGGTGACCCTGTGAATCCGTAAGTTTAATGACCATCTGACATGATTCTTCCAATGGGAAAGGTCTGGCAAAAACAAGCAGATCAGATTGTCAAAAAAAAAAAAAAAAAAAAAAAAGACAAAACCTGGTAACACCTGGTGTTTGTGGAATAAAGGGGCAATGAACACTTGGATACATGTTGGTGCCAAATTGGTGTATATATTTTTCGAGGCCCACATTATTACAACTTCATAACTTGAATGGCCTTCAATACAGAAGTCCTATTTCACCAACAAAAGAGTTTCAGGTGAGGGTTTAGAAAGGGATCCCAAAGTGATTCTGACCTGCAATTTGGTTAAGGAAGCTTGGGTGAGGGGGCAGGTTAGGAGTCATATGAACTTTTGGCCCCAAAGAGGAAAGACAGCTAATATTTACGAAGCCGATTTTTAGCCAAGCCTAGTGCTACATTCTTCACGTTAGTAGTTGGAATTAACCCACACAACAGCCCTGCTAGTGAGGTATTGCTATTCTCTCTCCACAGATGGATGTGACTACAAAGCACATATTCCTTACCAGAGAAGGATGGCAAAGACATTGCTCATCAGGCCTACTGCTAGAGCCAGGAATAGAATCTGTCAATGTGGGCACCCTGGGGTGCTGGTGGCATTTCCAGAAAGGATCCAAGTTTGGTGACCCTTCCCCTTGCTTCAGGAATGGTTTGTGGCAGAGCTAGAAGCAGAAGCTTCACATGTGAAGCCAGTATTTCTTCCATCTTTTATGAAAACTTAAAGAAAGGATTGGGCTGCTTATTATCTTGTAGGAAAGGGAGGACCTCTGAGGACACAGAGAAGGGAGAGGAAGAGAGATTTCTCCCAGACAGGAATGACGTCAGAGGTCTACAGGTCGCTCTAGGAGTAGGAACCTGAGAACTGCTCCATATCAAAGCTTGGAGTGGCTCCTGGATGGTCCACCTGGAGTGGGTATCCAGCGTGAGGCAGATTTTTCTGTTTGGATCAAAGGATAGATAACAGTGGTGGCATTTTTTTCCTATTTCTTGTATGCTTGATGCTCTGGCATCTGAGGCCTTGCTAACTGGGGAGGGGCTGCTCCTTCCAGGGTTAGCTAATTCCCAGTTCTAACAAAAAACTCACCTAAGGAGCACACATTTTATATTCAAACTAATTAATCCAGAGCAACTACACATACACACTCACACTTCCTCTACTGGGCTCTTACATTCCAGGCCAATAGTACCCTCCCCTAATCATATCAGAGCCTGATTCTGTCAGAGGCATTTGAACCAGAGAAACTCTATTTTGAATAGGGGCTAAGTAAAATAAGACTGAGACCTACTGGGCTGTATTCCCAGAAGGTCAAGGCATTCTTAGTCACAGGATGAGATAGGAGGTCATGAAGACCTTGCTGATAAAACACGTTGCAGTAAAAAAGCCAGCTAAAACCCAACAAAACCAAAATGGCTATGAAAGTGACCTCTGGTCGTCCACACTGCTCATTATGTGCTAGTTATAATGCATTAGCATGCTAAAAGACACTCCCACCAGCACCATGATAGTTTACAAATGCTATGACAACATCAGGAAGTTACCCTATATGGTCTGAAATGAGGAGAAACCTTCAGTTCTGGGAACTGCCCACACCTTTCTGGAAAACTCATGAATAATCCACTCCAGTGTTTAGCATATAATCAAGAAATACCCATAAAAATGGGCAACCAGCAGCCCTCGGAGCTGCTCTGCCTATGGAGTAGCCATTCTTTTATTCTTTTACTTTCTTAATAAACTTGCTTTCACTTTACTCTATGGACTTGCCCCAGATTCTTTCCTGAGTGAGATCCAAGAACCTTCTCTTGGGGTCTGGATCAGGACCTCTTTCCGGTAACAATTCCAGACAACTTAGGACAGCCTCTGCACCACAGAACCTGCTGAAATTATTCTGAGTAGTCAGTCCTAAGCCTAATTACCCTGCCTTGTCTGTCATTTACCACAGAAAAC